ATAAGATACCTAGTCTTCTGAAGGCAATGCAGATTCTTCTGTATACCCAGGCTTGTCTTGTCCTAGGTAGGCAGACAGGTAGACACGCAGGCAATTGCCTTATGTATGGGGACTCGCCAAATCGCAAGGAGCTTTAATGGATGTTGCATTCTTGCCATTACGAGTAATTTCAGTATGAGACGGTATAAGCAATCTGAATAATCAGTATTGCAGACAGGAAAAGATACAGTCACAGTTTTCATGCAACTCTGACCTCAGTGGGGGGCTCCTGTGATTCAGAGCCAAGAAGAGCAACGTCCTGAGCACCCGTGAGCCCCGGTCCAGCGTCTCCTGCATGCCACAGGGGTGGGATACTGGCCAGATACTACTCATAGTAGCAGTGACTGCAATGAGAGCAAGTGTCCTCAAAAACTTGCTCACTCCTTTGCATTTAAGGGGTTTAGCATGAGTACAGACTTCCAGGGAATCCCTACAGGATTCCTGCTTTCCCCTTCCTGAAGCATTAGGTTGTCTATCCTCAAACCAAAGAAGTACAGAGCATGATCCATGTCAAGAAGATGATTTAATGAGATTGCAACGTACTCCATCATTAACGTTATCCATTGGATGGATAATGTATCAATGTGTCCATTGGAGAAGAGTACATGCAGACTACTAATGTTGTTACTATTTTGTCTTGGCAGCTAGGATGATCACTGCATGATACAACACAAAGAAACAACCCAAAAAAGCTTGACCCCGGCTGAAAATAGCAGTGTCGGTGAAGGCGATTAGTACGGAGGGAATGAGTACTGCAGTAGAATGCCAAATATACATCAACTTTAAAGTCAGAGCATCAGTGTGCAATTAGTGCCTTCACTGGGCGCTTACCTGGGCCTCTTTCAATTCCGTGTCAGTTTTGCTTCTCAGTAATTGTTCCAAAATTGTTCCATTTTATGATAAATTGACATAAGCCAAAGACATGCAGAGTATTTGCGCTAGCATTTTTTTCAGTAGTCTTTCAGCATTTTCTGGCTGGAATAGCCAGAATTTTAGCATATCTACTCCTGCAGCTATTAACAATAGTTTAGCCCTTAAGTTAGTTAAGTGAAAAAGGACATTTCTATATTCTGTAGAAGTTCTAGTTTTCTATAGCTCTAACTCAGAGACAGACCAATCAGAGAGACCATAGCCTTCCATTTTTTGCCATATATATATATATATGTAAAGTACTGATTTATAAAACTGCGCAGATCACCTTTGCAGCCCTATAAAAAACCTTTTCTAAGATTCATGGGAATGTGATCATAATTCTCTAGAAATTATCTTAAGGATACATCTAATCCTTTACCTACTCAAGACCAGGTTACTCCATCTAATCCATGACGGACATTTGCCTAATCTGTTCCTAAAACCTTCAGGAAGAAAAAAAAGAGGTATTTTAACCTTCAGAAGACCACAAAGTCAGAGGCTGGGTCAAGCTGCAGCCACATGACAACTGCTTTAACTGACCACAGCCAGTCTGAGTCCCGTATCAGCAATGGCCCTGGAGAGTTCATCGAGGGCTCGCCAATATGGGACTGGGATGAACCGTGGGAACGACAGACGTAGAGCTAAATAGTTGAGCTCGCAATAATTTGTCGATCCCCCTGTGGCAGAAGACTTCTCAGCTCATTGCATGGCTGAGCTTTAAAAGTGCCTGAAAATGCAACTGAAATAAAGACCTGGTTCTCAAAAGAAAACTGAAGAACTATGTTGAAGAAAGAAGCTTCACTGTCCAGAGCAGCTCCGGATCAGTCTTCTACCACAACTAGTCATGGTTGGGTCTAGTTTTGGCATCAGTAAATTTTATCTGAGCCTTATCAAGTCTCCAAATAGCTGATGGGCATCAAC